GGCCCTGACAAAAAGAGGTCAATGGGGGGGGGCACCTGAAGCGCTGGGTCGGGCTGGGTCGGGGGTGCTGAGGGGCCTGGGCAAGCTGTGGGGGCTCCAGTCCATGGGGGAGGGGGATTGGGGTGGGGTCTGGACCCCCAGCAGCCCCTTCCCTGAGGGATTTGGTGGTTGTGGCTGCCCCATCCCTAAAAGTGTCCAAGGCCAGGCTGGAGCAGCCTGGGATGGTGGGAGGTGGCAGGGGGTGGGATGGGATGGGTTTTAAGGTCCCTTTCCAACCCAGACCACCCTGAGATTCGGGTCAGCCCCTGGAGGAAATCCTGCCTGGCCAAAAACATCGGGCTGAAAAACCCAAATTATCGTCAGTTATAAATCCTGAAAGCCCCTGGGTTTTTGGGAAGAGGCTCCAAGCCGGCTGGGGAGCTGCAGGGCAGGGTTAATGTGGGTTCCAGGACCTGCCCTGGGGACCCCCCTGCAGGCTGTGACCTCCCCCTCCCGTGTCCCTGCCAGGTCAAGAGGATCCAGACCATCCTGGAGCAGCGGGACAAGCTGATCAAGGAAGGCAAGTACACCCCACCCGACTACCACAAGGGCAAGGACGACTCCAGGCCGTGATTCCCGAGGTCCTGATGTGGAATTCCTGCCTGAAGAAAACCCACAGGACACAGGGGTGGGGAGAGACCCCACGCTGGGCATCGCTGGGGCAGTAAATAATCCCTTTGGAATGTCCCCTTGGCTCTGTCGTGTCTCTTTGGGGGGAGTAAAACCCGGAGTGAGGGGCTCTCCCCGCAGCTGATTTCCCTGAGGGGGATTTGGGACACCCTAAAATGCCAGAGAGGGGCTGGGAATGTTGCCCTTGAGGGGGGGCAAATGCCCCTGGAGCCAGAGGGAGCTGCAGCCTGTGCCTTCTGCAGGAAAGGGATTGCTGCTGGAATAACCTCAAAGAGTTGGAAAACACGCCCAAAAAAAAACCCCATCAACTGTCCAAGCTCGTCCTGCAAAACTGAGCTGTTTCCAGCTGTGTGAGGAGAGCTCCATCACTTCCACAGAGCCCCCCTGGAAGAAGCACTTCCCTGGATTTCACCCCTTTCCCAGCAGGCTGTGGCAGCCACGGCCTCGCAGCGGGGTTTGATCTTCTCCTGGGATTTCTGCAGCTCCTCGTCCAGCTCCTCTCCCTCAGCTCCCTCCAGACCAGCCTTCTCCAGCGCTGCTGGGAGGTTTCTTCCTTCCCCCAGGCCCAGATGGATCTGTTGCTCCAGCCCAGATGGATTCCCTGTGCCCAGGCTGAGTCAGGGAGCTGCGATTCCCCCCTGGCACAGCCCCAAATTCCGGCTCTGGGTTCAAATCCAAGAGCCAGGACTGGCTTCTCCCTGTGCTCAGGGCTCCCTTGACCCACACACTGCCCTCTGTGCTCCCTCTGTTTTAGATAATTCCAGAAATAATGTTCTTTTTTTTTTTTTTTTTACTTCTTATCAGCCTTGATATTTTTCTCCCATTTTCTGCCCTGACCCAAGACCCCCCCCCCATCCTGGTTGGATCCTGGTGTGATTCCTGCCCATCCTGGCATTCCCAGATGGAGACAGGGCTGATAAATCCTCAGGGATTTTGTTTGGCTGCTTTGAATATGAAAACTCCAGTGGGGAGGAGGAAAAATTTGGGTAAGGATGTCAGCACCGGGGTGGATCTTGGCATTCCAGCTGTGGAAGGAGGCAGGAGGGAGCTCCTGGGGTGGGAAACACGGGAGGGATGTGGGAGCAGCGTGAGGAAACAGGGCAGAAACATGGATGGTTTCAGGTGGAAAGGCCCTGGGGGGGCTGAGGAGCTGCCAGAGCTGCCAGAACAAGTAAGTGATGGATAAAGAGGGGAAAATTGTGCTGGGCATGGAAGTGGAACAGTGACAGTTATTTACCCACAGGGAATAGTTGTCCTGGGGGGATTTGGGAGGGGATGGGACTATGTGGATGGGGAGCTGTGGGGACCCACGTGGCACCTCCAGGAAGCACCCGGCAGGGTTGAGCTGTTCCAGGACCACAATTCCCCAGGATCAGCCCCAGGAATGGAAATTTGGGAAGCGAGGCCAGCCAAGAGGTCAAACCTTTGTGATCTCCGTGCCATGTCTGCACCCCCCCAGCTGTTCATTATCATGATGGTTAATTATGCTTTCCTTTCCCAGAGAGACACTGTGGAGGGACCGGGAATGTGCAGGGGGCTTTGGGAAGCAGCAGGATCGCAGGGTCTACCCTCAGGAATGACTCTTCTGGTGGCGGCTTGACTGTGACAGTCCTTACCTTGGTGGCATCACAAACCCCTCCCGAGTTGGAAGTGAAGGCTGGAGGCGCCTGGAGCAGCGCCACAGCACGGGCTGGCGCTCCCGGGAATTGCTGGTTGGGGGGAAAAAAAACACACCCAGCCAATCCTGTGACTGGGAAGGGTTGCTTTTCCAGGGAGAGGAGGAAAAAAAAAAAAAACCACGGGCTCAGCAAAAAGCCTGGCAGCCTGCTGGTGATGAGGGTGACTCATCCCACCGAGCGGTCCAGATGTCTGAGGGAATATCGGGATGTATCTGAGCACTCCTGGCTCCCGAGTGGCTCTTTAGAGCCTCTCAAATCCTAATTGCTCTGGCGATCGGTTGTTATCTCAGCCAAGGGCACGACGATCCATTTGCCGGTAGTTAAAAGCTCTGTCAGGAATTTCGGCCAACAAAGAGGCTAATCAAAGGCTTGATGAAAACGATCAAGTTCGGGGAGAGATAAAACATCCCCCTCCTCCCGGCTCTGGTGGGAGGAGAGCGAGGCCGGGGCTCTGGGCGAGCGGCAGCGATCGAAAAATGGGTCCGATGCTCCCGACCGAGTTCCCCCGGGGGAAAGGGATTTGGAGCATCCTCGGCTTCGGAATGTGGTTCACCACAGAGCCCTGAACAAGATCCATTTCCAGCCCGTAGCGGTTCCAAATTTGCATTTTGCTCTTTGCCTTTTTTGTCGTCTTTTTGGCGCGGGGCTTTGCCACGTCCCCGGCTGGGTGGGAGGCTCTGGGGGCTGGGCTGGGGTGGGAGATCTCCGTGGGGAGCCACTTCTGCCATCGGCACGGCCTGGGCTGGGCAGGAGCTGGTGAGGGCAGAGCTCGTGTTGCTCACTGCCTGCTCTCCCAGCACCATCCTTTCCCCCATCCCCCTTTTCCTATAACCCCCAGCCACCAGGAGTGGGAGTTGGGGTTTTGGGTGAGCCCCCACCTCCTGCAGCACCCTCAGCCCTGGATGTTCCAGGAGCCCAGGCAGCATCTGCAGCTCCTCTGCCTTGGAGAAGGGGAATAAACAACTCTAGGGAGATGAATAATTTATCAAAAGTCGAGGGAAAAGGCAGGTTTTATCCCTGGGCTTGGGCGAAGGTTTTTAATGAGGGAGAGAGGACAAACCTTGGGGGCAGAGCCATGTGCTGACTGATTCTCACCAGGAGACATCCCCCTGCAGCCCCATGGGTGCCCAAGGTCTCGGCACCCTGGGCTGGGT